CGTTGCTTTTTTCAATTATGATAGTAAGTAATAGTTTATTGTTGTTATATCTGCTATTGGCATTGTTGTTTTCACTGTTTTGTTATTGTTACTCTGATAAGTATTTAATGTATGTTTGCGGTTTGCCGGATAGAGTATGAGTGCAACAACAACAGCGGCACACACAGACGCACACAAATATCTAAACAAACAAAAAGCGTTTTTTGTTTGGACCCATTTATTTTGCTTTGTTGGAATGTCTGGCACAAATAATGAAAACATATTGTTGTTGTTCTTCGTTTTTTTTCGGGCCACGGAAAGTTTCGGGGTAGAAATGGGCATTTTCCAATCACATCATTGTTAACAGGCTGATTCGTTTCCTCGTTCGTTCGTTCGTAGTGGAATCATAGAGTTTTTAACGACTTACCAAGGCAGAGACTGTTTTTGAACGGGATGCCATCCTTCTGGCTTTGTGCGAGGCTGCAGAGGACAACCTAATAATAGGTACGAGGAACGGCGAGCACTTGACAAACACCCTTACTTCTTGGCAGCGGCCGGAAACAAGAAAAATAACAAACTCTAAAATCCAATTGTTACTCTAGGACGATGGATGGGAAGCTTTTTGTGAATTGTGAGGGAAGGCCTTGTCGTTGATAATGATGATGAAGCTATGCTAGCTATTGCCTTGGCTGAGTGAGCGGTGGGCTTGCCAGGCAAAGTGTTTCCTGGTTTCATGTCGCACTCGTTATGTTGTTGCGATTGCCAGTTACAAATGAAATAATAGCGTTCGCACAGCATATGGCAACAGACGGCGGCCGAGGAGGCTGACGCAGACGCTTACGTCTTTTGTTCGAAAATTTTGATTAGGAAATTAAATCATATTTATCTGAAGTGGTCTATCAACCGCAAAAATAGAAAATGTATCCAGCTTGAATGCCACACACGCAGCCACATGTATCGACACACACACACATACTGAGAGACTTTTAATTTGTGTCAACCATTTTCGGTTGCCGTTTTGAAAGTCTTCCACCATTGAAACGCAATGGTGCCACCGCCTATGCTGGTAAGGGCGCGGGTGCGATGTGATGGCTTTGAGTACTTACTGTGTACTCGTAGTCTGTCGCTTTGAGGTTGTCATTGTTCGCCATTCGCTCGCCAGAGACGAATGTAAAACCTTTTAAGTTGGCCTTTGTTTTCCATTTTTAATTAATTTGCTTGCTTGTCGTTGACTTTTTTCTGCGAAGTCACTCTTTTCCAGTACAACTCTTTTTGTTTTCTGTTTTGTGTCGTCGTTGTTTCGATTTATTGTTGTCGTTGCCATTATCGTCCTTACAAGAAGCCAGAATGCGAAGCACAGGACATACAACAACAGGGCCCACACAATAGCTTCATGTTTGTTGTTAACTTCTTTCTTTTTTCCTCCATTCATGCCGTAGCGTTGTCGCTGTCCTGTTGCCATCGCAAGCAACCAGTTGTGGAAGTACGAAGAAGCATGACAAAGGAAGCCCTGCTCGGGTTGCGAGAGTCCGAACAAAGTATGTCTAAATGCATATACGAACACAAAGACAGCCGTACATATTTATTATTACGTGTTTTGTGTTTGTGCTCAACTGCACATCAATTCATTCGTGATTAATTATAATTGTTGTTATTGTTATCGATGCTGTCTCCGTCAGTGTCGCACAAATACGAACCAGCTCAATAAGCTACGTACTTACTCGTATGTTCGTACGTCGAACTAAATGTAATAGCTAAAATGATGCACACTTGTATGCATGCGAGTATGTATGTTATGATATTACACGCATTAACGATTCATCTTGAATGGCGATGATCTGGATGTTTGACAGCGGCCACATCTATTAGATCACCACTTTTCCCTGCAACATATATCAGAGTACGTTCCGAAATTTAACGATCTTCGATATTTATCCTGCCAATTCAGGTTTATTTCGATTTTTTATATTGGACATGTAAGAAGTTTTCCGTCGATGTTGCCGACGGATACATACCACCATCTTATGTTAGATATATGGGCATGTCCGGGAAAGGGTCAGTCGTAGAGTTTTGTTTCTTCAATTGTACCTAGAAAATGATTTAATGTTTAAAATGTTCACATAATTCAATAAAAACCGAAGTTACGGATAAAGTGTAAGGAAGGACAAATAGCAAATTATTTGACTTCGAAATTCGCGTAAGTGACCGCAGATATACCCATATGCATGTATGTAATGTTTTGCATGCTATTTTAGTTTGCGGTGACCTGCGGAATTACTGTCTAGTGTAGAGGTTAAGTAACTTTTTATTTCATTTATAACTTTTTAAAATTGTGACAGATTGGGGGTGGACAGATAGGTACATTAAATCCTTGTAGTTAACAAAGAGTTGACCATTTGTAGGATGTGCAAAGTTTTATCGAATCGGAATATTCATTATCTTGATACTTTGTGAGGGAGGTACCAGAAGGAGTGAACACCTAGATGCCATATTGCGACTAGATCTAAGCTTGGGAAAAATATTACGATATTTGGATCAAATTTACAAGTTTTTAAAATTTGGTATTTTATGGAGAAGGTACCATTATAAATTTATTGTTCTGCTTAATTTTTAACAATTTTGGGGAATTTAACAGGAAGAGTGGACCTATATGATTACATTTTCGAAGAAATATTACGATGTGCTAAATTTAGACCAAATCAGGAAGACAAACAGACCGCCGGTCATTTGTCAATCGACCGAAACGGGTTTGTTGCAAAGACACAGTATTTCGTTATTTCGATGGGGCACATTTCCATCGTACAAAAAGGTGATCCCCACAGCCGATTTCTAACTGTTATGGTCTTACGAAATGCACCAATATCGTATATTTCTAACGCGAATCACTTAATAAAAGGAACAAATGCACTTTACGGATACCTCTCAGATCTTCCTTTTGGTGCTAATCACAAGCACATCCTTTTTTCAGTAGAAATATGAGGTATCAAAATTTAAATTGACACCGGGGGTTAAAGATTTTCACCTATGGACAGGTGGAAAATTGGGCTATCCTAGCAGAATTTTCTTTTAATTTCAATTTGTTTTCTGAATACTTCTGCTGAAACAGAACAATCCGACCTGAGTCTCTTAAGGCAAACAAATAAAAAATATTTTTTAAAATTTTGGAACCCAATATTTCCGGAAGTTCTACCCAAACTAATTAAAAAGGTTGTCATTAGTATCAAAAAGAACAATCTGTAGTAAAAATTTCAAACGTTTCGGAGTGGCATTCTCAAAGATATTTAATTAAAATTGGGGGTATTTTCTGAACTTTGGAACCCTATATCTCGGGAAGCACTGATTTTCTCCGAGAAAATGTATGTTGCTGTAATCAGCATCAGATGAGCTACACACGGTATAAATCAACATCAGCATCAGATGAGCTACCTACGGTATACATTTCAAAATGATCTGGGAGGTGTCCGTAAAGAACATTTAAGCCTAATTAAATTCCAATAAAAGTTTGACGTTCTGCACTTTCGATAGGAACAATTTACTCTTTGAGAATGTCCATTTCATATCGCCAAGGTAGAGGATTTTTGCTTTAGTGTTCCGTATACCAATTTTCCGCTCCAATGAACACGCGGCGTTATTACAGCGATATAAAAATATTCAGATTTGGGTGGTTTTCAAACATCTTGTTTATTATTTCCACAAATAAATTAAAAATCTGAAAATTTGCATCTTGAGCATTAAATGATGATTTGAAATCTCCCTCTTTTTCTTCGTCTATATGAACGTGTGCTTATGTTTTCTATCTTTGTTATAACAGTTCCGTATTTCAAACTTACCCACAAGAGGAATTTATGTTCTACATATGCTTTGTATACACTAGGGTGTGCACAAGTTATGTTGGCCTTTTGCCACGATACATTTTTCTGCGCAGAATCATATATTGTGAGTGTAACCGCTGCCAAGTGACAATTTAATCGTCAAACAATGTCCAAAAATATGTTTGTAGTCCCAACCTAATGTATTTTAATATATAAAGACTGTAAAGAGTAAAATATGCCAAGTTCGGAACACTCCAATGTTTGCCCAAACATACATTTGTCTAATGTAAGCAAGTTTTTTGCTGGTCGTATGTGAGCGCTTTGTTTAAGAAAGTTGAAAAGATTCAAGGAACCGTTCGTTATCCTTTGTTATGTTAAAATAAAAAGTTACATTAGACCGGGGCACAGACATTGGCTGTACGGGGACGGGGTGCAGGGTGCTGTTCGTCCTGGGGTGGGAGTATAGGAAGTATCGACGCCGAATGTAAATAATAAAATAGTTAATACAGCACCAAGGACACGTGTCTGATGACGCACTAAACAATGCGACAGAGACTTGATTCGGAGAACTATTGTTGTGCGGATACAACCGAAATTGAATTAAACTTTTGAGAATCGTGATTGACAAAATTGCGGTGAGACAGAAACGTACACTGAGAAGCACGCGGGGTCTATTTTCTCATTTAGATAAATCTGGGATTATGTTTAGCAAACTACTTAGGTATGCAACTGGTTGTGAGAGCTGGGTCTCTTCGATTGATCCACGCCCTGTAATGCCCGTGAGTTGGCATAGATTGCGTAAGGCGAGGCGTGAATAGCAACCAGACATCAACCCTTCAGGCGACACATTGTATGTGCGTGGCTAGCTAGTGGATTAGCCGAGATGTCGTCTATTTAATTCGTTGTTTGACAGCTCGTGTCATCTTTGACATTCGAGCGTTAAACAGTGACAGCATGTGATCTTGTCATCTAATAATCTAACGGGTGTTTAAATGAAAAGCAATTGTTTTGTGGTCTCCTGCAGTGACGCGAATGACACTCGTGCTGCCGCTAATCGCCCGTTAGCCATCCACCGAATGGTGGATTGGTATGGTTACGAAAATGCCAGGCACACAACCCAATAATTGTGGCAACTACGTCAAATGACAATTGACAGGACGATTGGAACTAGTGTTTGGTATTTGCAAAACCAATCGAGTGGGTACTTACCCAGCCGTTTTGATATTTCGGAGTTGTGCATTTTGGGGTTATCCTGTGCAATTTTGCGGCGTTGCAACCGTGACCAGACCATGAATGCGTTCATTGGACGTTTGATATGTTCCTCGTTCTGTCTTTTCGTTGTGTTCTGTATCATCAGACTGAAGAAAACATCACTAGGAGTAAAAGGGAGAGGCATGCGTTAATGGCAGAGTGCTGTGAAAAGAAAAGACTTACCTGGCACTGCCACCAGTGTTCATTAGTGATCCCATGTTCTGATGCAGGTTTGTCATTTGTGACGTTTGCGAGGTGTGGTGCAGGTGGGCTGCTGCTGCGGCAGCCATGGCTGAGGTATTTGACGACGAAATTGCTGACGAAGTGCCCGAAGATGGGCCCGACGAGGTTTCTCCGGGTATGTGGTTGTGGCTGAGATTGTTGGGCAGGTGTGCCGTTATGTGGTCGCTTGGCCTAAGCGGCAGCGATCTCCCTGATCCAGCCAGGGAGTGTGTATGTACCGAGGGGGAACTGTTGTGATGCAAGGATGCTCCGCCTTGCAGATGGGTCGAGTGGTGGGCGTGATGTAGAATGTAATTATGAGCGGGCGATATTTGCTGATTGCTCTGCGATACCGAGGGAATATTGGCCACGGTGTTACTGCCAGCGGACAACGTTGTGGACGGGGAGGTTGTATGTTGGCTTTGCAAGCCGCACAGTGAATTCAATGAGAGATGGCCGTTACTACCCTGTTGGATGGTCGCTTGATTGTTATGGTGATGATGGTGATGGACTGCTGCCGCCAGCTGTTCGATGTGACTTCCGCCTGCAGCACCGACAGCCGAACTGTTACCAAAATGATTTGAGAGCGTCTGACCCGACGATATGGAAAGTGGATGCGCTATCGATATCCCAGACAGAGAAATTGATGGAATATGTTCCATCATTCTGTGCGTAGAAGCACTATATCACACTGTACCAATAAACACCTAGCTGCACTGTCCAAATTTCGGATTCTCTGCACGCCAACTCTGGAAGAAAAACGCCAAAAGACAACAGGTCAAATCTTGTCGACAGCATTGGCATTGTGAGTAGACTCTTAATTGATAGTGATTTGTCATCGAAGTGTTCACCCTTTCGACAGTCTCTGGCACTACGGCCCCCAGATACTTTACAGAGAAAATACACACACACACAAATCGGCCCTCCAAACTAATTACCATAACAAAGCGACAGCTTTTATTAACACCAGTGATGCCCTAGCACTAGCACAAGACGATCCCTGTCTAGCACTGATTTATAGTAGCTCATTCCAAAATCAGTGTGAAGTCTGTCAAAACTTTCAAAATATGTTGATAACACGCTGAAATCTAATCTCAAATCCTTTAAATCGACAGATTGTCAAAGAACGCCTGACAATAGTCTTCATAGCCGTATTAATTATTATTTATTGCCATGTTATAAAGCAACACCATTCAATGAATTTATAACACGTCCACATCCGTTATGTAGTCACAGTGAATTGAGTGCGACGACTTTGCAGCCAATCTGAATTAGTATCTACTAATTTACAGAAGAGATGAGTGATATCGAAAGATCGCTGGCGAGCCCACGTTTTTTAAAAATTAATAATTCACTTACTATTTTTGGCCCAAATTTGTTGAGGATGAATTTGTTGGTCTATTCCGTTTATTTTTCAATTAATTGAAAGCTTTTAGCCGTTGTTTTGGCCTTTCAAAAGTAATAGCCCGATACCTATACGAAAACCTGGATTAATTATACCTGTTAAAATTTAAGAAACAATTGGGCATCCTCTGGCATTTACCTCAACGGTAGAAGTGTTTCGAACACACGTCTAGCGTATCTGTAGCATCTTTTGAAGTGAATTCTTTACACTTACATTTTGAAAGTGAGAGTCGGGTGTACTCATGTTTTTCAATACAAAAGAATATTATTTATAACATAAAAAAGTCACATGATGATAGATTAACATGCTGCTATTCCGTATAATTTGTTCAAAATCACAATATTACGATGAAACGCCATTAAAAACTGATTTTAAATTGCTTGAAAGAAGCAGCTGATTTGAAGTAAGCTTGAACAAGATATGGTTACCAAATTTTCCTCTTAAATAAAACAACAAATTAATGATATTACAGAGTTTTTCGTACATATACTTTATGTTCTGAATAATTGGAAAAATATTCTGACAGCTCAGCTTACATTCTTCAAACTCGTTCTGAGTTTTTAGAGAATGTAAAAAAGGTCCGGTAATTTATCGGCAATAAGAAATTTTTCACAAACTCCCATATAACTTATAGTGGGATACAAAGGGTTAAGTAATTTTAAGGCTCAATATTTGCTTGCAGTGTCTAACTATTAACATTTTTAATCTTAGGTGAAAACTCATAAAAATATGATACAGGGATACGATGTTTTAAAAAAGTCATAACCCCATTATACACACATTTGTTGGACTTGATTTTGCAAATTTTACGGTACAAATTTCAATTAAAGCCTTCTAATAAATGCTTTCTCCCGCCCCCACTACCAACCCAATCATTGGCAACTATCGACAATCCATCTAGCTGGATAGCCGATAATGACGCCATGACTGGACAGACTCGTATGCGGCAGTTAGCATTGTGTGCACATTGTTTACACATGTCGCCGGCATATGTTTGCTTTGTCCCATTCTCCTTGGTCGTGTTTGGTATTCATGGGTCTGCTCTAACGATGACCCATGTTAATGCTGCCAATGACTGCCAATGTGGCGGAAAGAGGGTGGCACTTTGCTGCAGTCACTCCACTAGTCCTTGATCAAATGTTTAGCTGACTGGTCCATTGTGTTTTATTACGAATTTGCTTTTGTTGGCCCTTTTCAATCCCTTCGATGGCATTGTTAAGTTGTTAAATACACTTGAGATGGATTAAATGAAGTAAGTGTTTAAGACACAGTTTACAATTTGAATAGTTGTCCATAATAGCCCGGGTCTGACTTGACTGCTGGACAAACAAGCGATTTGGCATTTCGAAATGTTTCTGGCATTTAAGTGACAACGTCGAAGACGCCAACAATTGGATTCTAATGATGCTATTGTAGCATTCAAATGGGGCAAGTGTTATGAATGTTGCTGTGTTGGGGCGATGGACTCCTTGATTAAGTACTGACCTGATAAACGGCATCGGCTTAATCGGGTCGCATAAGTGGTGTTTGCTTCTCGCCAGTGTAGATTGAAATTATATTTTCGAAGAGGACAAAGGAGTGAAGGGAGCAGTTATGAATGACAACTCTGGCGATAAAAATATTCATAACGATACCTGGTGTCTTTAATCCTTATTAAGTGCCACATGTTCACCGTGCACACATGCACATATGGACACCGACACAAATATTTGGTGCTACATTGTACGGCTGCAACTTGCTTTGTTTCCCATGCAGAACTGTCACATCAGTAAATGCGCGGGAACGACAAGGCATGAGCCTACAGTAGTGTGTCCTGCTGTTATCAAATGGGTTTACAAATTGTTCTTACACCCTTGTCCGATGCATTCACACACTTGGCAATTGCCTCTTTTATAGCTTGTCGTGGGGAATTATGTCCATGTTGGGTCATCCCAAACCCGTTTCTGCACTGAGAGAAATGTGGTGCGATAATCGTTCATACTTGAGTCTGGCTCCAATGCGAAATGTTCGTTGCATCGATTTATACACATGAACACTATGGCAGTGGTGCACCGTGTGTCGGAATGTTGGCATTTTGCGATACTCCAGTTAGTCGTCGGTTCCATGCTGTCTACATTGGTAGACGACGTCGCCGTTCTTGGCTCTTAACATGGGCATTGCCATTCAAGAAAACTGACCGTCTCACATCACACATCCAGCGAAACAACTTCACTATGCCGGACGAAGCCCCCCGCCTCTACTGATAGGATGGATGCAGTTGGAACTCTGCGTTAATAGATATCATCGTGAATATTTATAACTTCACAGCTAAATTACATTCATCTGCATGTGCAGGGCTCCCTAAGAGCTTCGGAGGCTAATCTTAAGCAGGTCTGACAGTGCGGCAGAGGAGATGCGCGTATTTGAGGCCACAGTAGGAGCAAATTGCCTCAAGTCACTTGACACATGAACAAATATTTTCTGTATAAATGTGTTTGGTTTAAATAAAAAGATCCGGACACAAAGGCAACAAAGGCTGCTGGTCTCTAGCTCAGTTTGGAGCTGACAAACAAGAATTATGATCGGCTTAGCCACATGCTGAGCCGCTTATTCGTGTTGCATTCAGCAAACAACCCAAAGGCATTCATACACAGACAGACAGGCAGGCGGGCAGCTAGCCTCTGTCATGAAGTGATCTGCAGAGCATACTCCACAAACTTGGCTTTACTGATGCCTCGCTTCCTTGCGAACCTTCTCGCTGCTGAGAAAATGCTGTGGTGTACGGGCTAGCGTGTCAATTTCCTATCAGCCGTTGGATCATTTTGTTCGCTTAATCGCTAACCGTGTCTTGCTTAAATTAAATCGCCATGTGATTTCATTTTCGCGCTCCTTCAAATGCCTCCTAATGGTCTTTGGCTATAATTCGCGAACTTCCACACTCGTTAGCAGTGACATTCGCTACACGTCTGCAACAATGCCCCCACACCAAATCGATCCCCCACACCAAAAAGTTTCTGGTCAGAAAATGTTAATATCTTGGATATAGGTTAGGAGTTTCGTTTTATGTTGTAAATGTAAACATTTCCCTTGACGAATTCTTTTAAAAATCGCCGATCTTGTCGATAGTTTGCAGGCAGTTTCTGCCACCAAGCTATGCATTATATCCATAATCCGATTGAAAGTCCAACAATATAATTCAATTTTAAATTTTGAATAAGAACAACATTCCAAATATTTAGTTTTGAATGAAGAACGTCAGCAGCGATCTTTGCAATCATGATAATCCATTTATATGAACCACCTGCGATCTGGTACCAAATTAAAATACGTGGCCGTTAGCTTGCAAACTGCCAAAATTTCATCCCACGATCCTGAATATTTAATATTTTGTGTATATACATTTTAGGTTTTATTTTTACAAATCAATACATATTGTAACGTAGGGACACGGCAAATAGAATCGAGCCGATTGATTTAAAGCGCTGCATCTTCATCCTTTCAATGTTCATTGAATTGGAGCTATTCCAAAAAGTGGAGGAATCTATTTTGCAAATACATTTCTAAAAGGTCTAAATCCGCACGCCAGCAACGCTAGCTCCATACTCGACGAACCTGACAATATCTGATAACTATGAATTATTATGATACTGAGATTTGTTTTTTTTTTTCTTCATTGTATGTAGAAGCCTAACATCGCTACGTTGTTTTTTTCTTTTTCAGAATAAAATCGAGTACTACGCCAAAAACCGATTTGAAAGTGTGAAATTTTGTCGGAGTACGTTGTCATGTGGAACATTTTGCCAGAGAAGAGGTATGTACAAATCTGTGTTATTTTATGTAAAGTGTATTCGGTTTCAGTACGCGACCAACTTTAGTATTACAAAATTCCCAACGAAGAACATTTAGACAAATTTGGTTTGACGATTATTATTTCGCGGTTATTTAAGGAAGTGTATGTTAGTCTTCCTGTGGTCTGGCCTGTTGTTTAACATTCAGTTACATAAATCGTCAACTACTCATATATATAGATTAGAATATGTTCGTTAGATTGAAACCAGTCGGCCGTCAATACTCACGATGGTTTGCTTGTCATTGCCAGAGGTAAACGCCACCAATGCTGGATGAGTTAATGTGTGGATATTATAAATTAGTAGTTTTCTTTCCTATTTTTAATATGAAAATCAACTGCAGTTAATTCAAACTTATGTTCACATCTGTGTACTTGTTTAGTTGTTTTTACTTTTTGCTTCTTAATTTCTCAATTTTTAATTTCACAAGCAAAATAATATTGACAATTGGTTTTTGTTATGTTGTGTTTGTTTGTATGGTTTTTTTTTTATTTTTTTTAT